TTGTTTGCTTTATTTAGCAAAAGCACAAATCTTGATGTTATTGTGAGTGTGCAAAAATAAAAGTAAACACTTTTGTGGATTATATCTTAGGCCTACTCTAAAAATTTAGTTTTTTATGTTTCAGCTGTTCGGTCGTGCCGGCACCTCTCGCGCACACACCCCACATATTCTAGCAATTCAAACTTACATCGCAGTCTGTTCATTATCAAAATAAAATATTCAACCAAACATATAAAAGGTTACATTGGTCAGTTTAAATAGACCGTAGTATACCGGTCCACTCTGCTGTTATGCAAAGGACTTTTTTGCTCATGTGAAGAGGATGATCTTTTCCGTCTATATGCGAATGCGTGTAAAGTACAAGCCTAGTTTACATTATAAATAATAGTTTAACATTCAAATACATTGCGGGACGTGAGTAATAACCTCCAAATACATCTAGTCAAACCCGCGCTCGCTCCGTCTCGTATGCTCGCAAGCATGCGCTGTCACGATCTAATGCACTGTAAATGCCAGATTTTTTAAAACAATTAGGCCTACCGCAATGCCAAAATGTAAAATCTGACATTTTCCGGAACAGGATCCAGCAGGATCAAATTAAGTACTGGTCATAATACTCACATGATAATGTTTCATGTGAGCAACAGTGTGTTTTGCTGCTGCAGCGCCGATGGAAGCGGTTCACTGACTGCGCAGCACAGCCACACGCGCCACAGTTACGTTTGGGATAATTTTATTTTAAATGCCATAATGTCAGTTGAAAGCATTGCAATAGTGTTTTAAAATACAATAACGAGCACCACGAAACAATTTAAAGAGGCGCGTTCAGCGGTCTCCGTGTCGGGATAGGAAACAGTCAACAAAGTAAAATGATCTCAAACGAGCTCTCTTTGAAAATTGACATCGCTAACACATACTATACAAATCAAGAATTTTTTTTTGCATTTTTTTCTTTCATGTGTGCTTATATGGGCTCCTTACATCATTTGGTTCTTTGGTGTCCTTTTAGAGTTTTGAGTTCTTTTGGAGTCCTTTTTTGGAAAGACATCTATATTTATCTTGAAAAAAGCTTGCAGAAAATACAGATTTTTGAGAATCACCCTTCAATCTTTTGGTTTACTTTGCTGAATATAGCAAATGATGACAAAATAAACATTTGAAACAAGATAAATCTATGCTTAATTTCATGAAGTGTGCGATTAATCGTGATCAATCACAGAAAAAGGGTGATTAATTTGATTAAAAATTGTAATCTATTGACAGCCCTAATATATATATATATATATATATATAGCCTATATATATATAGCCTATATATAATGTATGTGCATGCTTGGCAGTTAAATGTACACAATGTGATTTTTGCAGTTGATATTAGAGAATTCATCATATGGAACTAGAAAGAAGCTGGGTCTATCATGCGTTTTGAAAGTGTGTATATTGCATACTTCATATACATACTTTATACTGCAGAAATAATACACATAGTACTATGGTAGTACTCCATCACAATCTTTTTAGATGTTACCAGCTGTGTTGCTTAGTAAACACTAGAATGTGCTATGGTGGAAATGTATCATGGAATGTCATACACTCATGATTAAAGCCTGCTTGGTTCATATTTAGCACATGAGTGGGTCTGTTAATGAGAAGGAAGCTCTTATGTTGAGTCCAAGTCACGGGCCCCACAGAGGC